ATTTCTGAAATCTTGTTGTTTATCTTTTGGATTTCTAATTGTTGTTTTTGTATAATTTCTAGTTGTGAATTTATTTTGGCATTTTGTTTCTGTGTTATTTTCCTGAATTCTTCCATGAATTTGTCTGACTTTTCCATGAATTTGTCTATTTTTTCCTCATTTTTGTCTGCTTTTTTCCTCAGCTCTTGGATAATTCTGAGTATTAAAGATTTGAATTCCCTGTCATGTAGTTCTAGTGCCTTTTCTTCTACTGGAAAGTCATCTGGTGTTTTATTTTGTATGCCTACTGGACCCATTCTGTCCTGTTTTTGTGAATGTTTTGATATTGTCTGCTGTCTTCGGGGTATTCAGTATTTATTTTTCTCATTTATTGATTGTAGATTCTTTTGTTTTGTCCTTTTTTTAAATTTGGCTATGCCTGAGCAGGCGGACTGTGTGTTCTTTGTTGTTTGCTCATCTGTGGGCACGATACTTTCCGCCTTCTTCTCCAATTGGCAGTGTCAGTCACTCAGATATGGTACAGCAGGGCAGGTCTAGCTGAAGAGGAGTTACTGGGATGGGTTGTTCGTGGCACTTACTACAGCCAGCAGGGCGGGTCAGTAATCAGTGCAGGGTAGGTTCCAGTAGGCCATGCCTGTGCTGCTTGGTGGTGTGATGTCAAGCGCATGGTGCAGGTAGGCAGGATGTGGGGGGAGATTGTTATGTGTGGAGCTAAGATGGATATGGGAGAGAGGAGAAAGGAACAGGAGCCAAAAACATACAAACAAACAAAAAAGAGTGCTCGGGGAGCTTGCTGTTTGAGTGGAGAGATGAGAGACTATGAAATGGAGAAAAACAAAAATGGGAAGAAGAAGGAAAAGAAAGAAAAGAAAAGAATGAGTAAATAAAAATCAGAAAGGGAAAAGAACAGCAAAGTTCCCAGGGATCCCACCATTGTGGCTATGAGGTCTGGGGAAGTTGTTCCCAGGTGTTGCAGTACAGCCTGGCTAGAAGGCGTAGAGGTATTCAGCGCCAGGTATTCAGGGAACAGAAAGAGAAGGAAGGTATAGAGAGACAAGAAACTGAGTAATGAAGAAAGACAAAAAGGGAAAAAGAGGGGAAAGAAAACAAAACAAATTTAAAGAAAAACAGACAAAAAACAAGAAAAGCCCCCCAAAAAAACCAGAAAAATGAAAAAACCATGAAAAGAGAAACGTCCTCAGGGATCCCTCTGTGTGTCTGCGCAAGCCGAGGGGGTAGGTTCCAAGCCACGCAGCACCACCTGGCTAGAACAGTCTCCCAACTGAAGAAAAGGAAAAGAAAACAAACAAGTCAAAACAAACAAACAAACAAAAGCCCCAGGATCCCACCAGCGTGGCAGCCCAGACCAGGAAGCAGTTCCACACTCAAACGGAGCTCCGCAGCCCCTCAGAAAGAAGCAATTATGGCGCACGAAGCCTGGTATTTGAGCAAAAGGAGGGGGAGGTGGTGAGAGGTAAGGAGGAAATCAAAAGAAGTGGAAAAAAAAGCAACACCAACAGCCAACAAAGGGCACTCACAGAGCCAGCTAGTGCGGGCAGGTGGAATCCAAGTAGCCGGTACTTCCCAGACAAGAGACTGTGTCCGTGGAAGCAGAGGAGGCCGAGTGTGGGTGAAGAAGGGTAGGGGGTGGGAAAGTGTATATCACAAATTACCGGAGCTCCGCAGCCCCTCAGGAAGAAGCAAAGATGGCACATGTAGCCAGGTATTTGAGCAAAAGGAGGGGGAGGTGGTGAGAGGTAAGGAAGAAATCAAAAGAAGCGGAAAAAAGCAACACCAGCAGCCTACAAATGGCAGTCAGAGAGCTGGCCAGTTTGGGCGGGTGGAATCCAAGCAGGCAGTGCTTGCTGGACAAGAAACTGTGGCTGCGGGAAGCAGAGGAGGCCGAGTGGGGGTGAAGAAGGGTGGGGGGGTGGGAAAGTGTATATCGTAAATTACCGGTTGTTTTGTCTCCCGCTGGAAGCTCTGTGAAGCTGCTTTCTCGTACCCCCTGTTTGCTGGTCTCTGTTAGGAGTCCAAGATGGCAGATCCGTGCTGGGTTAGCTGATAGGGGACCTCCATGAATCTCTCCTCGCTCTCCGTTCTCTGTGAATTTTCTCACTCCATTTGGTGTTTGACTGAGTTCTTTATCTCTTCATTTGATGTTTTAGGGTTTCAGGATTGCTGTTTTCTCTGTTTGGCTTAGTTTTTCGGATCTTTGCTGTGGAGGGACGGCGTGGTACTTCTGCTTAGAGCGCTATTTTGCTGGAAGTCTCGCAAAATGAACTTTTATAGTACTGTCTTTCTGTGATAACATTCTTTTTGTATAGTTTTTAAATAATATAAGTTTATTTTGGCAAACATAGAAACAATTCACTTATTCTAAAATACCCACTGTATTTCTTAGAGACTAGATTTACAGTTTCCCTTCTATATAATTTTGTCATTATATGCTTATTTCTTATTACCTGAATTTTTTTGGCTATGTCTATATCTGGACAGATAGTTAGTAGTACTATATTTTTGAGACAACATACCATTTATCTTTTAAGATCTTTTAAATTCAACCATGGAAACACAAAATTATAAGTACTCATGAAAAATAATACATTGCATTTTAATTTAATAAGTAGGGATTATAATGTTGGGATTTAAGTAAAACCTTCCAAACTCTATTATTCAAAGTCATTGTTGATCATAATTACTCAGATTAGCTTTCTGCATTGACATAATTAATTAAATAATTGCCTAACCAAGGTATTTTATTTATCTTTATAAAGTAGAGATCTGTGTTCTAAAGTACAGCAGAGACTAAGGAAGGGTGTTTTTCCATTATTTCAAACAGCAATTGGAATTGTAATACAAACTGGTATTTTCCTTATTCCTGTCATGCTCTTATTTCCTAAGGAGGAAAGATTGATGTCAGTAATGTGAATTCTGTTCTGGAAAGCATGGCTATAAAACTTACAGAAGACGAACAGCAGGATCTTCTAGAACACATTTCAGCTACTGGTGAGGCTTTTAAATATCTCATTGTGTAGATACTGTTGCTCTTGTGAGTTTGGAGACTTTTCTGTGAGATTCTTCTACTTATTTGAATTATCAAGGCTTATTTTTTAATTATTTTTATACCCATTACCAAATAAACCTTGTTTCTTATTATTTAGTACTCTGGGAGATAGTAAACTTCTTAGACATTAGTAACTGATTTGCTCTGTTCCTTGAAGTATATAGCTTTTACTGGGCTACCTTGCTGTTCAAAAATCTTCAGTGACCATCGTATTTTTTTTTTTTTACAGCAACATGTTAAAAAAAAATAGGCATAACAGTGCTTATGAAAATACCTTGCAAGGGGAGAAGGGTGTAGTTGCCAAACAAATGTAGAAGGCTGTGCTTTAGAACTCAAAATATAGGCTGCGTATACTGTATTTTGTTATTTATGTAAAAGTACAGTATACACAGACTATATTTTTGCCCCCAATTTTTTCATTTTTAAAATTTAAGTATAATAATAACTACAGATTTTAAGGTTACAATATGATGAATTGTGACTATGTATATACCTCTAAAATCCACCTTGCAATTAGGATATAGAAAGTAACAGCATTCCAGAAAATTCCCTCATGCTTCTTGCCCCTGCCCAAGACGCAAACCATGTTTCTGATTTTTATCACCACTGATTAGTTTTGTGTATTATAGGACTTAATATAAATGGAACCATGCAGTATAGTCATACAGTATAATCCTATGTATGCAATCTTTTGTGAATGGCTCCTTTTTTCAACATGTTGTCTTTGAGACTCATCCATGATGTTGAATGTATCAGTAGTTCCTTTCTTTTATTGCTAAGTAGTATGAATTTAACATTTATTTACTCTTCTTCCTGATATTAAATATTTGAGTTATTTCCAGTTTTTGGTGATTATAAATAAAACCACTATAAACATTCATGTATAGGATTTTCTGTGTGAACATAAATTTTCTATTTTTTTTTTTTGTGACTATTTTGAAGTGGGACTCCTGGGAGGTATGGTAAGTGTATTTTTAACTTGGTAATTTGTGACTTCTCTGTTCTTTTTTCATCAGATTATCAGTTTTATTTATCTTTTAAAAACCGGCTTTTGGTTTCATTGATTTACTGTTAATTTTTCTGTTTTCAATTTTATTGATTTCTGTTCTTATCTTTATTATTTCTTTCTTTGTTCTTGCTTTTGGTTTAATTTGTAGTTTTCCTAGTTTCTTTAAGTGGAAGATTATACCATTGATTGGATATCTTTTTTTTCCTAATACAAGCATTTGTTGTTAGTTACCATAGAGTTCATTATGACTCATGGAGACCTCATAAGGTTTTCAAGGCTGTGACTTTTCAGAAGCACATTTTGCCAGGCCTGTTTTCCAACGCCCTTCTGGGTGGGTTTGAACCACCAGCCTTTTGGCTAGTAGTCAAGTATTTAACCATTTGGACCACGCAGGGACTCCTATATGAGCATTTAATACTACAGATTTTCCTTTAAGCACTGCTTAAATGCATCCCACATTTTTGTTGTGTTTTTATTGTCAGTCAATTAAAAATATTTTCTAAGCACTTTTGTGACTTCCACTTTGATACTTGGGCTATTTAGTGTTGTTGAATTTCCAAATATTTGTGGATTTTCAAGATACTTTTCTGTTATTGATTTCTAGTTTAATTCCTTCATGGTCAAAGATCATCTTACTCTGTGTTATTTCTATTTTTAAAAAATTGTTGAGGTTATTTTATGGCCTATGTAGATCATAACAAATTATAGATAACATTGCAAGGAATGGGAATTCCATAACATTTAATTGTGCTTATGCAGAACCTGTACATAGACCAAGAGGCAGTTGTTCAGACAGAACAAGGAGATATTGCCTGGTATAAAATCAGGAAAGATGTACGTCAAGGTTGTATTCTTTCATCATACTTATTCAATCTGTATGCTGAGCAAATAATCTGAGAAGCTGGACTATATGAAGAATGCAGCATCAAGATTGGAGGAAGACTCATTTACAACCTGCAATATGCAGATGGCACAACCTTGCTTGCTGAAAGTGAAGAGGATTTGAAGCACTTACTGATGAAAATCAGAGACTACAGCCTTCAGTATGGATAGCACCTAAAAATAAAACAAAAATCTCACAACTGGACCAATAAGCAACATCATGAAAAACAGAGAAAATATTGAAGTTGTCAAGGATTTCATTTTACTAGGTTCCAAGGTCAATGCCCATGGAAGCAGCAGTCAAGATATCAGTGTATTGCATTGAACAAATCTGCTGCAAAAGACCTCCTTAAAGTGTTAAAAAGTAAAGATGTCACTTTGATTACTAAGGTGCACCTGTTCAAAGCCATGATATTTTCAGTTACCTCATATGCAATGTGAAAGCTGGAAAGTGAATAAGGAAGACCAAAGAAGAGTTCATGCATTTGAATTATGGTGTTGGTGAAGAATATTGAATATGCCATGGACTGCCAGAAGAATGAACAAGTTTGTCTTGGAAGAAGTACAACCAGAGTGCTCCTTAGAAGCGAGGATGGCGAGACTTTGTCTCACGTACTTTGGACATGCTATAAGGAGGGATCAGTCCCTGGAGAAGGACATCATGCTTGGTAGTGGGTCAGTGAAAAAGAGGAAGACCTAAACACCTCGACAAGATGGATTGACCTGGTGGCAACCAACAATGGGCTCAAACATAGCATTGATTTTGAGGATGGTGTAGGATCGTTTCCTTCTGTGTTGTACATAGGGTTGCTATGAGTCAGAACTGACTAGATGTCACCTAACAGCAACAACATCCTAATATGTTGTTGCATAACGAATTACTCTAAAGTTTAGTAACTTAAAATGAGAACCATTTATTTTCTCACAGTTTTTATGGGCAGGAATTATGGAGGATAGGTGGGTGGTTCTGGCTTAGGGTCTCTAATAAGGTTGCAGTTAAGATGTTAGCCAGGACTGCAGTAATGTGAAGGTATCAATGGCACTTCTGAGATGGATCACTTACATGGTTATTGCTAGTAGCAGTGCTTCAGTACCTTGGTTCCTTGCCATGTGGGCCTCTCCATAGGGCTGTGGTCTTCATTTCCAAAGGTATTTTCACTTGGTATGTTATTGTTAGATGCCATCGAGTAGGTTCTGACTCATGGCGAACCCACGTATAACAGAATGAAACTTTGCCTGGTCCTGCACCATCCTCACAATCATTGCTGTGTTTGAGCCCATTGTTGCAGTCACTGTGTCGATCCATCTCATTGAAGCCTTCCTCTTTTTTTTTACCCTCTATTTTACCAAGCATGATGTCTTTCTCCAGGGATTGGTCCCTTCTGATAATATGTCCAAAGTGAGACACAGTCTCTCCATCCTTGTTTCTAAGGAGCGTTCTGGCTGTACTTCCTCCAAGATAGATGTGTTTGTTCTTCTGACAGTCTATGGATTATTTAGTGTTGTTTAATACTTAGGGTTATTCTTTGTCAACACCACAATTCAAAGGCATCAATTCTTCATTCTTCTTTATTGATTGTCCAGCTTTCACATGTGTATGAGATGATTGAAAATATCATGGCTTGGGTCAGATGCACCTTAGTCCTCAAAGTGACATATTTGCTTTTCAACACTAAAAGAGGTCTTTTGAAGCAGATTTGCCCAGTGCAATACTTCCTTTGATTTCTTGACTGTTGCTTTCATGGGCATTGATTGTGGATCCAAGTAAAATGAAATGCTTGACCACTTCAATATTTTCTCACTTGGTATAGAATTCTGAATTGATAGTTTTTTCTCTCCCCAGTATTTTGAAGATAATACTCCACTGTCTTCTAGCTTACATAGTTATTGATGAAAAATGTGCTGTAATTCTTAAGTTTGTTCCTTTATATATAATATGTTCTTTTTCTCTGTTGTTGTTGTTTGGTGCCATCAAGTCGGTTCTGACTCATAGCGACCCTATGTACAAGAGAACAAAATGTTGCCTGGTCCTGTGCCGTCCTCATAATCGTTGTTATGCTTGAGCCCATTGTTGCGACCACTGTGTCAGTCCATCTTGTTGAGGGTCTTCCTCTTTTTCAGTGACTCTCTAATTTACCAAGCATGATGCTCTTCTCCACGGACTGGTCCCTCCTGATAACATGTCCAAAGTATGTGAAATGAAGTCTTACTATCCTTGCTTCTAAGACATTACTTCTTCCAAGACATTCTTTTGGCGTTCCATCGTATATTCAATATTCTTCACCAACACCATAATTCAAAGACGTCCATTCTTCTTTGGTCTTCCTTATTCATTGTCCAGCTTTCCCAGGCATGTGAGGAAATTGAAAACACCATGATTGGATCAGACCCACCTTGGTCCTTAACAATACATGTTTGCTTTTTAACACTTTAAAGAGGTCTTTTGCAGCGGATTTGCCCCATGCAATGTGTCATTTGATTTCTTAACTGCTACTTCCATGGGTGTTGGTTATGAATCCCAGTAAAATGAAATCCTTGACAACTTGAACATTTTCTCCGTTTTTCATGATGTTGTTTATTGGTCCACTTGTGAGAATATTTGTTTTCTTTATGTTGATGTATAATCAATACTGAAGACTGTGGTCTTAGATCTTCATCAGTAAGTGCTTCGTGTCCTCTTCGCTTTCAGCAAGCAAAGTTGTGTCATCTGCATATTGCAGGTTGTTAATGAGTCTTCCTCCAGTCCTGATGCCCCATTATTCTTCATATAGTCCAGCTTCTTGGATTATTTGCTCAGCAGACAGATTGAATAAACATGGTGAAACAATACAATTCTGACGCACAACTTTCCTAACTTTAAGCCACTCAGTATCCCCTTGTTCTGTTCCAACGACTGCCTTTTAATCTATGTACAGGTTCCTCATGAGTACAACTGAGTGTTCTGGAATTCCCATTCTTCACAATGTTAAATATTATGTTATGATTCACACAGTCGAATGCCTTTGCACAGTCAATAAAACACAGGTAAACATCTTTCTGGTGTTCTCTGCT